TCCCAAGGACCTGACCATGCTCTGCTGCTTTCCAAGCCTACATGTAGGGAACTGAATTGGAAGTAGAGCAGCCAAGACATGACGGGCACCCATATGGGACACCTGCACTTAGAGGATGAGGATTAGCCACTTGAACCAACATACCTGGCCCAGGTAGTTGCTATTTTTTAATTGTTTTGGTTCTTAGCTTCCATTCTAGAGATATGATGGTTTATGTACCATATTTACAGATATGCAACAGTTTGCATGTACTTATGTAGTTATTGTCACTAGTGAGTTTTCTATCTTCTGATATGTTCTTCTTCCTCAATAGCGTATCCTCTCAATTTGTATTTTATTTTCCTCATATTGTTTAGTTGCCTATGCATGCTATGTTTTAATTCATTTGAGGGTCTCATGATGCTAGTTTGATTTAATTTTCTAGTATTTTATGACTCTATTTCTTTAGGTTCTATAACTAGTTAGGAGTCTACTTTTCTCCTTTAAGTGTTGTTATTAATGGGGTTTACAGGTTTCTCCTCAGGAGTTTGCTGGTGTGCAGGACACCAAACAAGCCCTAGCTCTGCAGGATTCTGCAAAACTGGAGCCCCATCTAATGTCTGTCTTTCGTATTGCAGCCTCAACCAAGTGCAGAAGATATGCATCATGTGCAAGGTGTATTAAAATAGTCTTTTTAAAAAATATGTATTTACCTAGACAGATAAATCTGCCATCTGCTAGTTCACCTCCCAAATGCCTCACAGCAGTCCAAACTACACCAGAGCTGAACATCATAGACAAGTATTTAACTTACAAGTCTCCCACTTGGGTGTCAAGAACACAACTACTTGAGCCATCACTGCTGCCTTCCAGGGTTGGCCTTAATAGGATGTTGGAGTCAGAAGCTAGAACCAGGAACTAAGCCTTAGGGCTACAGAGCAGAATGTGGGCATCTTAACTACTAGACTGAATACCTACCCTGGATCATCTAGAATCCTATTACCATCCATGGATTTAGCAAAGAAAGAAACTGGCTCCTTGGAAGGTTCCTCTAGAAGTTAGAACTTTGCAGTACAATATTCACATCCTTTTCCTATCCAAAGAATGAATGGGAATTAGGGACTTCCTATCAGAATTTCCTGAAACTTGTTCCTGGTGTTGGTGGTGCAGTTCACATTCACCTGCTAGAGTAAGAGGCTCTTGACTAGTTTCCATGTTTCTCACAGAGGCACATGGTTTCTGGCACTGTTTTTGTCATGGTTTCTGCCACTGAAAAATAACCTGTTAGTTTTCAAACTGTATATTTTTGTCAGTAAAATAGACATCTTTTTGCCCGTGTTTAGGAGCCATTAATATCTTCCTTTGCTCTCCAAGTATGCAGTTGGTTTTTGCCTGGTTTTTCGTGTGTGTTTTAGCACTGTTTCATGAGTGGTTTAGCACTGTTTCCCCATTTTCAAACTCTGTATGTGTGATGTCAGATCTTTCCTGTGTGCTCTTAATTGCAAATATTGGTCCGGATGGCACTATCTTGTGACTTTATTCCTGGGGTTTATGCCAGGAAGTGGGTTTTGAATTGAGTCAGATTTATTCATCAGTTTCTTTGATCACCTCTGGATTTTGAACTGACCACATCCTCAAATCCAGGCCCTTCCCTAGGACACAGCAGGGACATGTCCCTGCCACAAGAGCACCTTGGGCTGAGGGACAGACACCCAGAGCCAAGAGGGTGTAACCTGGACAGTGAGAGAGGGCACCACAAGGCTGTGGCTGTCCCGAGTAGGGCCTCTGCCTGGGGGTAGCCTAGGTCTCCCCTGCTATCCTTAGCAGCAGGGCCTGGACCCAGGGCTTTCTGGCCACTGGATTATTTGCAAAAGTAAGTCAAGAGAGCCGAATGAGGACCAGAGAGAATGAAGAAGAAACACTTAGAGCAAGGGTATGCTCGAGAAGAAACCACACTGAGGGCAATTGTAATGGAAGGGACATCAGAATGTCTGCCCCCGTAGGAGACAGAGTCACCCTTGAGTTCTCTTGTATTCATTCCTCTAGGGAGCAGGCAAACCTTGCCAGAGCCAAGGCTGGAATCCTATTGAGGTCAGAGCCCAACAATGGAGGATAGTAGGTTCTAGCCCTTTTCCCTGCCTTGGTGCCCTCTCTTTCCATGCTCTTCTGATCTTGTGTACGAGTCAGACCCTCTGCCGCACTCCAGTCCTATCTTGTGTTCCTCTCAGAGCTACCCTGATCCCATTCCTCAATAAAGAAATTGCTACAGCATGGTAGAGTTGACAGGAGGTTTCAAGAAATCACTGATCCAAGCTCAAGTGCCTCCTGGAATGGTGCCATTGAGGAGCAACTGGCACAGTCTGAACCACTAGGGTCCTCCTCACTGGGCTGGCATCATCACTGCTGGGGACACACTGCCCTCCAACCACACTGACCACATCATGGCCACAAGGCACCAGTGCGACTGCCAACACCAGTTCTTCAGATAATACTTATTTAAAAAAAAAAAAAAAAGATTTATCTTATTGCAAAGTCAGATACACAGAGAGGAGAAGAGACAGAGAGGAAGATCTTCCATTCGATGATTCACTCCCCACGTGACCGCAACGGCTGGAGCTGCACCAATCTGACGCCAGGAACCAAGAACTTCTTCAGGGTCTCCCACGTAGGTGCAGGGTCCCAAGGCTTTGGGCCGTCCTCAACTGCTTTCCTGGGCCACAAGCAGGGAGCTGGATGGGAAGCGGGGCCGCTGGGATTAGACCGGAGCCTATATGGGCGAGGACTTTAGCCACTAGGTCACCTTGCCAGGCCCAATACTTCTTTTTTATATTTAATTGTTTAAATATTGATTTATTTACTTGAGTTATACAGAGAGAGAAAGAGACACAGAAAAGAGAGTGATGAGGGCGAGTCAGGAACAGACAGACACAGAGTGATCATCCATCACTGGTTCACTTCCCAAGTGGCTACAATAGCTCAACCTGGTTAATGCCAGAACCAGGAACCTGGAGCTTCCTCTGGGTCTCCCACGAGGATGCCGGGCCCAAGCATTCAGGCCATTCTCTACTGCTATCCCAGGAGCAGATGCAGGGAGCTGGATGGTAAGTGGAGTACCCAGGATTCAAAGTGGTGCCTCTTTGGGAAGCCCATACCTTAAGAGGAGGCTTCATCAGTAATGCCATGGTACTTAGCCACCTCAGGAAATCTTTCCAGAATCACACAGCCACCACCATATCCAGATATAGGATAACAGAAACACGAAGCAGCTCCTTCATGACTCTCATACTACCAGAAAGTGCATACTTTCAGGGTCCTGTGGTGTGGCACTGGGGTTAAGTCATTGGCTGTAAACCAGCATTCCTTGTAAGTGCCAGCTTGAGTCCCAGCTAATCCACTTCCCATCCTACTCCCTGCTAATGCTCCTGGAAAGGCAATGGTGGATGGGCCAAGTGCTGGTCCCTTGCTACCCACGAGAAGTCCAGGAGGAATTCCTGGCTCCTTGTTTTGGTCCTGGCCTAGCCCTAGTTATTGTAGCCATTTTGGGAAAGTGACCATCAAATGGAAGATTTTTTCTCTCTCTCCCCACCTCCCTTATCATGCATAAGTATATGTTTCAAATAAATAATTAAAAAACAAAAAAGCTTCTACCTGCTTTACCAGTCTCTGACCATGTTTGCAGTGTGTGTGTGAGAACCACATCATGAGCACCAGGGACACCAGTTGGTCCTCCAGGAAGCAGACACCAACACAGGGACAGGATCACATGAGGTTTATTAGGGGAACATTATAAAGGATGCTAAGAGGGAAGAGGTGTACAGGAGCAGGGAAAACAAGGAGAAGTGAACATGCCCCATTTCTTCAAGGTTTGTCATCGGCACAGCATGTTTAGGATGGCTCAGGCAACTCTGCAAATTTCAAAAACAATTGCCATGGAAAGCAAAAAGATTTGAGGTTATTTCCGTGTGGTCTCATTTCTTCCCTATCCACACTGACTTTTCTCTTTGGGTGACTACTGAACACTGACCTGTGTGACTGTGTGTGTCTTTAGGTCATAAAAATCCTCACAATCTACACACATCACTTAGATTTTGGGGTTTACCTGTGTACTTTCTTATGGTTACACATGCTTTATCTTATGGGATTTGCATGTTAATAAGAGAATTTGCCTTACTTTTGAAAATAGGATTGCAAATCTCTCAGCCTGTGTTCTTACACCCTTAGATTTCTTTACTGCACTGCAGTGTCTTTTGATGGTCTTATAAGAGGAAAATTTTCTGCAGAACAATAAATAGGATAAGGGTGAGTGCCCAGTGTGTGCAGACATTTGCCTCCTCTCTTCTTCCTGACTATGTCATTAGAATCCACTGGGATCCTTGAGTGACAGATGACTTAACTGGGCCTCTCAGGAGGCCATGCAGAGTGTGGCTATCCAGGGCTGGGGTAAACAGAGCCAAAGTGAGAGTTCCCCATATTGCCTGACCTGGAGCTGAGAGTCGGTCATGGCTAGAGAAGGCTGTCCATGTGGTGAGGGGTGCCCAGTAGGGCACAGTTGGCCTGGGTACCCCCTGGACTCTCCGCTCATTGTGATGCACAGGCAGCTGCCCACTGCCCTGGCCCCAGCTTCAAGGCCAATGCCTTAGGGTCCTTGTTCTTTTCATCCATGTGACTAAGGATTTCAGTACAGCAAGAGATCCTGATCAAGGTAGGGCCTTAGTACACACATGGTCATGCAGACACTTCTGTGACTTCATGTCTCTCCATGCACCCTGCTTACCCTGCTTACCCTGCCTGCTCTGACTGGGCAGTCTCTAGCCTCATCTCAGACAGCCCACCAGATGCCCCACATGGCCTCTCTCTCACCTCCTTCACCTCCTTCACCTCCTTCCCACTCTCCTACTTATTCTCAAGAGAGACACTCCCTTGCTGGGACTCCCACATCTGCTATGAAGCTTTCATTAAGGTTCACAGAAACTAGAGAAGGGTTCCACTTTGAGTCAGTTTTCCTGTGCTGATCAACATACCATACAGCGTTTCCAGAGTGCTCTGGAACTTCAGACGTAGCCTTCGGTTCTTGACCAGCTTAGGGGCATTCTTGTAGTAACGCATTCCCCAGGAAGGAGGGTGCCTCGGTGACTCCATGTTGACCTGCAGAACACAAATTACAGTAACAGTGATATGATGGAGGAAAGCATGACCCAGGACCTGGGTCCTGCAGAGCCAGTGACAGTCCCTGATAACTTCACTAGGTTTCAGGAGAGCAACGTCAGTGCCACAAAACTGCCCTTCTCTGCTGAGTCCTGACCCATAAGGGGCATTCTTGATGCCAGAGCAGTAAACTGGTATCACTTTACATTACTACATTACTGCCAGTGTCTACCAATCAGGTCCTAGAGGATTGATAGATACAGCAAACTCAGAGAAGAAAAGCCTCCCAGACAGAAACGACCCAACTCCAGGCTCCAACCTGGACTTCTGCACAGCACACCTGCTGTGATCTGACTACTAACAGCAGAGGGAGAGAAAAGGAGGGACAGTGCCAATCACCCCCCGGCAAGGACACTAGAGACTTCCCTCACCTGAACTCCGGAGCAAGGACAGTTTCAGCACACTCCGCAGAAAGCATGTGGTCAGTCTTGGGAACCAATCTCCCAAGAGAATCAGAAAACACCTTCAGGGGCACAGCAGGTGACACCAGTGCTCCTGCCAGCCCCTCTCATGTCCTCTGCTTCCCTACATTACAAAAAACTCCTCCCTAAATGTGCCACCCCTGGGCTCAGAGATCTCTCAGTAATGTGGATTCCTGGGGTTACACAGTAACAAAGTCACCTCAAGAAAACTGTTAGGCCCAAGGAAAGAACAATGTTTACCTGAACTCACAGATCATATCTAATTTTTAATACATGGGGACATCAGTTGGATGCTCTCCTGTGGAGTAATAAGCTGGGGTTCTTATGGGACAGAATGAAAATCCCTGCACTTGACATCTAAAGTGGTGATGTCCGGGGGTTGAGCAGAAGGTCTATGAGCTGAAACAGCTTCCCAGGCCTGGGAGAAGCCACAGGTGGGCACTCCAGATTCCACATTTGCCCTTACTCTGTCCCTGCTGTGTTCACTTGCGGTCACTTGGAACAAGGTCAAGTAAGTGGAGACACGGGCAGTCACCTGAAGTCAGATCTGTGCCATCCTTGACCCAGGGTCACCAGAACTGCTTAGCACACCTGGGGACCCCAGCTGAGGCCTCCTGGAGCTACCACCAGAGAAGCCCAGAGCTGGGAGAGGGGAGGCCCATAGACTTCTGGGGAAAGATTATGCATTTTGAAATGTGAAAGACACAGCAACAATATCATAGGGCCCCGACACACTGCAGAAGAGACCAGGAGAATGTGCCCCATGCAAAGTCAAGTGTCCTGAGATAGTAGTGAGGAAAATAAATGCAGCATTTTTACCTTTGCCTTCTGGGAGTCCTCGGCAGGGCCTGGACCACTGCTCCTCACGGGACCAGCATGAGCACCTGCAACTGCAGAAGGCCAAGAAGAGCCTGGGCTTGCCTCTGACCCACACATTTCCCCATGCCTCCCCATCACCCAACTCTCCATCCCACCATGCCCCCACCAAGATGAGCCCCTGAGGGTCATGCTATCTGAGCTCTCATCAGGACTTTGCTGACAAATCAGTCCAATGTGCATGATGCAGGGCTCTGAGGAGCTGGACACCAACAGAGAAGCACAGGATCCCCAAAGGTTTCCCCTCCTCTCAGGGAAAGTCAGTGCAGGGGCTTCTGTTCTACCGGGTAAGATCTAAAGAACACCCACAGGGTATCTAAGGGAAGCAGGTGCCTGCCCTCCTGTGTGCTGTATCTGCTAAGTGCTGGAAACTGTGTGCAAAGACCACCATGCCCACCCCAAGAACAAGAAGTGGAGTGTGTAGAGTCTGCAGCGGAAGTGACATTGCTACCCTTGGCCACTGCTCCTACCTCTCCATGTCTGGTTCTGCCAGCCAGGTCTTCCCAGTGCTGGATTCTGCCTCTTGTACCCCTCTTGTGGCTGCTTCATATCCAATCTTGAAGACAAAGAAAGAATAGGCTCAAATGTGAGAGGCAGAGACCACCAAGTCACTTAACAAGGCACTCCACAGAGCTCTGACTTCACAGAGCAATAACCACCTCAGAAATAGCTGTTCCATCCCATACCTGCACTTCGAGCACTTGACCTCCCTGTTGTACCATGCCAGCTCCCACTCCAAAGCCATGGCTCTGTGCTGGGGGAGGAACACACATGGCTGATCAGTCATGGGAAACTGGGTGTGGGATGAAGGAAGATAAGCAAGCATCTAGAAAGCATCTTACCCAGCTTTCCTGACACTTTCTGTACTGGGCGGTAACCTGAAAAAGACAACACATCACCAAGGGTCTCTTTGGAGGATGTGAGGGCCATAAGGCAGGGTGTGAGGGGCGCTAAGGGTTCTGCAGAGGGTGGGTCACCTGTTGCATTAAGATGTACTCCTTCTCCTGCAGATCTTTCTGCAACTCTCGAATTTTCCTCCTGTGATTCAGATTGGCTTTCATTAGATACACATGCTTGCGAATGCAATTCTGAATGATCTGCCTGAGTCTGTTATGCTCACCACTGTGCCCTCCCCGCAGCTGAGCCACACAAAAAGGAGCCAGGCATCCAAATAGCACCAGAGGTGGCCCTGTTTGTCTGAAAGATGGGCCTGGTTCTGAGCTCATCACTTCCCTCTTCTATCCTTCCCCCAACCCTGGCACCACAAGGCCCTGTTCTTTTACTTATGTCTTCAGCCTATCTTGCTGCCATGCGCTGGGTTTAAAAGTAGCACAGTCACTTTCTTGCCCATGACCTAACCCACGTCAAAATGCTTTCTCAAAGTGAGGACAGTTTGCCACCAGAGACATTTTTGTGAACAAATTTATACACAGTTCAGCCACTGGCCATCAGGACATATGTAGCAACTCTTCTTTTTTTTTTTTTCTTAGATTTATTTATTTTTATTGAAAAGGCAGATATACAGAGAGGTGCAGAGACAAAGATCTTCCATCCACTGGTTCACTCCCCAAATGGCTGCAATTGGCCAAAGCTGAGCCAATCTGAAGCCAGGAGCTTTTTCCGGGTCTCCCACATGGGTACAGGGTCCCAAGGCTTTGGGCTGTCCTCTACTGCTTTCCCAGGCCACAAGCAGGAAGCTTGAAGGGAAATGGAGTACCAAGACACAAACCGGCATCCATATGGAATCCCAGAGTGTGCAAGGCAAAGATTTAGGCACTAGGCTGCTGTACTGGGACTATCTAGCATCTCTTGATTTCCCCTTATTTATAAATTTTCATTCGTTTTTTTCTTGGGTGCATTCTCTCTGTACATATCTTCTACACATATGTGGATGCTTCTGTGTGAATCACATGTAAATATTATATGAAGCTGAAAAATTTAGCAACCCCTTGGGACTCCATGAGAGGCTGGCATGCAGCATCTGAACTCACTTGCAGGCTTCTATTTCTGCTGTAGCCAGGTTCAGCTTTTGCTCTTTTTCAGCGAGCAGCTGATCCAGATGGATCTGTTTCGGTGTCTCCATCACTTTTTCCCTAAGATGGGAAAGGAATACATATCATGCAGCAGTCCTATTGAACTTCTGCCTTCCTCGTCACCTGGCAGTCTGCAAGCCAGAATTCAAACAGCCTTCTGCCCCACAACCTTTGCATGTTCAGTAGGAGCCAGTGGACCTAAGGCAGTCCCATTTAATGAACTGCAACCTTAGTATGTCCACAACTAAGACCTTAATTGGGAAAATAAGAAATGGCTGAATGTCAGCCAGTCATAACCACTCATGCTTCAGCCAGAGGCAGCCAACAGAGACCACATCTGCATAAGGCAACTACCTGGTTTGAACCCATCAGTCTATTTCCACACTTGCAAATCTATGACTACTTATAGCCTACAGGGAGAGATGGCTAGCTCTCTCTGGTTCTGAGAGCTGCCTCACTCACTGACAGTTCCCAGGCTCATCCTAAATCTCCTTGGCTATAGTGTTTCTTAACTCCCATGAATGCATGGACTGAGCACCATGGTCAGAGGAAAGAATTAAAGCCTTCCAACTGTCTTTGAAACTGGACAGGTGGGTCTGATGCCCCTGACCTCTCCTGAGAACAGTAGGACACCCTGTGTTAAAGATGAAATGGGTGACTGAATGCAACAAACCAGGCAGGAAACATGAGCCATGACAGAGAAGGGAACCCAGGACCTAAGGTCAGCCTGGTACTTGGGCCAATTTCCCTGTGCCTCTTCAGTGAATTCCAGAGACTAATGAGAAACAAAGAGGATGAGCAGCCTTGGCATACAGGCATGGTTGAGATGGGGGACAATGGACTTCAGACTCTGCTACAGAAGGGAGCTCACTGAATTCCACAGGCTGGCTGAGACCCAGAAGTGACGTAGAGAGGACATCGGGTGACCTGTGTGGGGCTGAGCCTGTACACTGTGATCTCAATTGCAGGCTAGAGTCAGAGCATCCAGTCCTGGCAGTGCCCCGACCACCTGTCTGCCACATCAATCATACCAGACGTCAGTGCTACATTTCCCCCCAAGGTCTGTATACTAAACATCAGGTCAAGACATACAGTCACAAGGAAACCTAAAAGAGCACAGTCTGTCAACCCAGAGTGAAACCAAATGATGAACTTGTCACCATTTGTGCCAGTATAACCTCTGATCTCAAACAGATGATTGAAAAGTCCAAAGCCAGCCAGAATGGAAAGGAAAAAAATACAGATTCTAGAAGCTGAGGCAAAAAGGACAACCACATTTATGTACTGACTGAACATGGCGACAATACTTTGGCATTATTCTAACAAAGTAAGAATTGCTTCTATTATTAGTTGGCGCATCTGTTCATAGAACAGAAAATACAATGACCACATAAACAACTTACTCCTCTGCAGCCATCTGTCTGTCTTTAAGAGTATAGTCCAGCTGCATCATCAGAGTTTTGAATTTGGAATCCTTTCTGGATTTGGCAAATGCCAGTGAATCACAGTTAACTTTCAGGTTCTTTATATTTTCTGTAAAGGGGAAAAAAAAAATAGTATTGTGTGTGTGCATGGATCTGAGGACTTGGAGTGTGGAAGCAAGATGGATGATGGCCCAGGAGGCCAGAAGCTATTCTTTACCTTCCCAGTGCAAACTCATTTCTACTCTGTGCAGCTGTCTCCCAGGCAAGCAACATACCTTCCAAATGATTAGTACTGGAACTCAAGGCTTTGGGTTCTGCTGCACCAAGTTTGTCCTTTAGGCAAAAGAAGGGAAGAGACATTCAACAAGTATGACTGTACAATAATGTGGCCATAAGTAACACTATAAATTGTATGTTTATAAAAGATTAAGGTGGCTGATTTTATGCTTTGCATTTCTTGTCATGACTAAAAGTCTCTTATAAGGCCTTTCCCTCCCTGATGTCACCAAGGTGCCACACTGAGGCTTGTCTGTGCTGGGTGACATGCCCTACGTCACCTACCTGCTGGTGGGTGCCCTCAGGGGGAACTCCTCGCCCAGAACCAAGAACATCCACAAGATCCTGAACGTGTGTGTCAACAGGGTTCTTGGAGAGCTAAACAGGAAGAACACAGAAGACATTATTTCTGAGGGTATCAGAAATGCTGGCCAGTACACCACCTGCCAGTGGGGCTATGGTCATGTCTACAGCCCCTGGCTCAGCAGCTCCTGCTACCAGGGCTGCCCTACCGCAGCAGAGGAAAAGAAGACTAGAAGAAAGAGGAGTCTGAATGTTGGGCTCAACAAGTCTGAACAAGTTTGATTGGAAATATATATGTGTGTGTGTGTGTGTGTGTGTGTGTGTAAAGTGAGAAAAGCTGACACTGTGTAGCAGGTTAGGCTACCATTTGTCAATAATGATTCCCTTGTTAGAGTGACAGTTCTGATTGCTTCTCAGCCTTTTGACTAAGATCAAGTGCAGAGTGACAATTCTGGTCCTGGCTACTCTACTTCCAATCCAGCTTCCAAGGCACATTAGGTACCTGGGAGACAGCTGTTGGTGATGTCAGTTCTAAATGGGCCCCTATCACCCATTATGGGAGACTAGAATTGAGTAACAGGATCCAGGCTGCAACCCTGGATCCAGGATCCAACCCTGCATGTTGTTGACGAAGTGAACCAGAGTGGAAGAGCTCTCTCTTTCTCTCTCATTCTGTGTTCCAAGTAAATAAATACTCATAAAATAGTAGTAGTCATCATGGTATTTAGTTTTCTGATTCTTCTTCTCTATGGCAATAACATTTTGTTTCATGCTTCTCATCCTTGGCTGGCACCCTAAACAAACATTCTCCTTCTTAGTACCTTGTCTTCATGCTTCGGTGTTGCATCCTCCAGCAAGGATTCATCAATGGTGATTTTAACCTAAGGGAAAACATGTTTGCTGATGATGTAACTCCAAAGAACAAAATTCCCATGTAGAGATCATACATTTAGACACTATATGATGATGAACCGTTGGTCCTGCATCAGTGGTAATGAGCACAATGTAAACAAATGTAGGTGGCTTACCTCCGATATAGTGTTGTTCAAGTTCTCTGTAGATTTTTCTTTTCTCAATGTCTGCACATATTAGAAACAAAACATGCATGGTGGTTTCCATAGAAACACTAGACCATACTCTGAAAAGTTAAGTCAGTCTATCCATAGTTACTTCTATATTTGGTGGGGAAGTGGGTGATCCAGGTTGGGGACAAGGGCTATGTCAAGCACCTACAGAAATCACCGCCAAAGGAACACTTCGAGGAATGAATGCTTTGTGGCATCCACCCCATTTCTGGCTCAAAGATAATGGAATACAAAAGTGAATGATGGGGGCAAAGCAAAGCAAAGTGGAGAACTATGTAATTCGCTTAACTGAGATGAGATTTGCTTCACAGACCACAAATGAAGGAAATCAAGATCCAGTTTCATTCAGCTCACATGTTCTGTTCAACATCAAGAGGGTCAAGGGCCCTGTGACATCTTGTTCATCTCTGAATTTTCTCCATTTTTCTTTGCAACAGGGCAGTTGATAATTACAGACAGGCTTGGAACAAAAAAGCATACTTCTGGCTAGATTAGCACAAGAATCTTGAAAACCAGTCAGTAGATGAGTGAGTCAACCTCCCCTCTTCCCTGTTCCCTGTCTCCCACCGTTATGGTCAGTGTGGATAGACATGACATTCCACAAAGCTGGGAAGGGAGAGATGAGGGTGGCTGTCACATTAGGCTGCCAGTTTTCTCTCTAGGGGTCCTAACAGTTTCTTACAGTGAAAATCATGGTTTTCACAAATGTGGGTGAAAAGAAATCCAGAGTAATTCCTTCCCATCCAAAAGGCCAACCCTCTTGGGAATCTATTTTCCCAGATTTTCCTGGGATTATGTATTTGACCAGGATTTTTCCTGAGACCATGTGCCCACTGTAAAGGGAAATTACCAACTCTATCTGAGTGTGCTCTTTCTAGGTCTCAAGGGAAAGGAAAACCACACTTAGAAACTAGGTGAAAGTTGCAAGAGCCCAGGCTCACTGGAAGAGGGACTCTAACCATGAAATCTGGCCTACTGCATTCTCCACATCTGCCCACATGTATAGGATATAGTGAAAGGGATACTTCAGTGGGGAGCTTATAGAGCTGAATGCAAATAGGGTCCAATGGCTAAAAAGTCCTCTTTCTACGTGGTAGAAAGTATGCCTGTAGCATACGGTCGTATACTCACAGCAGTGTTGGTTCTCCAGAAGAAAACCTTTTTAAATGTAGAAATTACAAGGAAAGCACCAATAATGCAATTCCAGGGAAGTCCAAAACACAGTACACAGAAATGTACTTGGCAAGGCAGAATCCCAAGCAGCTGTAATGACAACATTAGAAACAGTGAGAATCCTCAAAAGCAACATAGCATTTCCATCACAAATGATCACCCTTGGGGACCCTGAGGCAGCCCTCATCAGCTAGCTCATTGCAGGGGATTCCACTGCTTCAAAAAATTTCAGGACTTGCCAGTCCCATGCTTTTTGGCCATCTGGTGCTGTGTACAGACAAGGTGAAAGTGGCTGTCTTTGCCCAGAGAACCCAAGCTCACCATGGGCCCTACCCGCTCTGATGTACAGTGCCACACAGAAATCCCTTTCCATTGCACTCACTACTCCCTGGCATTAAGTGACTTTCAGCATGTAAGCAAGAACATCAGTCAGAAAGTAGCTAAGATAGATAATAATTCTATTTAGACAAAGACCCAATTTTGTTGCCGATATAAAGCTAAAGTTTGATGCTGAAGTGTGCCCATGTGGGAGACCGGGGGAAGCTCCAGGCTCCTGCCTTAGGATTGGCTCAGCTCCAGCCGTTGGGACCACATGGGGAGTGAACCATCAGATGGAAGATCTTCCTCTCTGTCTCTCCTCCTCTCTCCATATCTGCCTTTCAAATAAATAAATAAATAGATTTAGTTTTTAATTGGAAAGTTAGATTTACAGAGAGTAGAAACGCAGAGAAAGCTCTTCATTCACTGGTTCACTCCCCAAATGACCGCAAAGGCCAAGAACCAGGAGCTTCTTCCAGGTCTCCCACAGGTGCAGGGTCCCAAGGCTTTGGGCCGTCCTCTACTGTTTTCCCAGGCCACAGACAGGAAGCTGAATGGGAAGTGGAGCAGCTGGGTTATGAACCCACACCCATATGGGATCCTAGTGCATGCAAGGCGATGACTTTAGCCACTAGGCTACCGCACCGGATCCAGTAGTAAGAAGTCTTTACAAGTGATGGACAAGTTTACCACTTGAGGGACATGATTATTTCACTCTGCTATGCATATCTTAAGAAGGAATACATTCTACTCTTTAAAGATATATTTTTTAAATAAATAAGTACCATTCTTCAACTGTAGGAAAAAAAAAACTGATACACAAGCTGACAGTTTTATGTTTTCAGCAAAAATATAGCCAATATTACAACATTATTTCCAGAGATTTACTTATTTTTATGTGAAAGGCAGATTTTCAGAGAAATGTTCAGAGAAAAGCAGAGAGATTGATTTGTTGATTCACTCTTCAAATGGCCACAATGGCCAGAGCTTGGCTGGTCTGAAGCCAGGATTCTGGAACCTCTTCCAGGTCTCCCATGTGGTTGCAGGGGCCCAAGGGCTTGAGCCATCCCTTGCTGCCTTCCCAAGCCATACACAGGGAGCTGAAAGGGCAGTGCAGGAGCCAGGACAGGCACCAGTGTGCATGTGGGATTTCCAGCACTGGCAGGCAGAACATTGGCCAATTGAGCCTCTGCTCTAACCACACTACTTTAAAATTATTAATAGGATTTTACCTTTGAACTTATAACCAAAATAATAATTCATTAATAAATACAAACTCTCTGCAGTGCACAGGTGTCTGATTGGACACCCATGTGGGCTCAAATTCAAGTCTTTTTTTTTTTTAAGATTTATTTTCATTGCAAAGTCAGATATACAGAGAGGAGTGCACAAAGCACATGTGTTGCTTCACTCTTAGCAGATTAGTACCAACACCAGTGACTCGGCACCACTGTTCCTGGGCTGCCAGACTGTCACAAGCACGAGCTCTTGGGCAGCTCCTAGGAGAAAACCTTCACCCTCCAGGAGGGCAGCAAGCTTCCCTAATCCCTCCCTTTTGAGGCTGAGGTTCCTGGGGTTCCAACCCTAGATTCCTATTTTTTTTTTCTTTATTACAAAGCCAGATATACATAGAGGAGGAGAGAAAGAGAGGAAGATCATCTGACTGATTCCTCAAGTGACTGCAACGGCCAGTGCTGCACCGATCCGAAGCCAGGAGCCAGAACCTCTTCCTGGTCTCCCACGTGGGTGCAGGGTCCCAAAGCATGGGGCCATCCTCGACTGCTTTCCCAGGCCACAAGCAGGGAGCTGGATGGGAAGTGGAACTGCCGGGATTAGAACCAGCGCCCATATGAGATCCCGGCACGTTCAAGGTGAGGACTTTAGCCGCTAGGCCACGCTGCTGGGCCCTAGATTCCTATTTTCAAGATCCCATTTTGTCAGCCTTTCTTTTGCCTGGACTTAGTCTAGTTAGGGTCACAGATATTATCAGAACCAGGTCAGGCTGGCAAAAAACACCGAGGCTTAGGCCCTTGGCTGTATAAGAAACCCTACAAAGTCTCTGACATCAACACAGGGTGGCGCAGCCCGACACAAGGGAAGAGCCCGAGGTGGGTCCATGGCTACTTACATTATTCTTTGTAGTTGGAAAACTCCAGCACAAAGTCCAAAAGAGCCACCTCCTCACCTCCATATTCTGGTCTTCTCAGGGTGCCCCCAAGAGGCCAGACAGCAGGTGGGACTGGGAGGGTGTGGGATAGGAAGGCGGGGAACTGATCAAGGGAGTCAGGGAATTATCTGGGTCAAGGCAGGTGTAGAGGCAGGAAGAAGGGTTCAGAGATCAGTCAATGGTAATTGGTCCGAAGACCACACACACAAAATAACTGCGGGTCAGAGCAGGCGGAGAGGCGCAGGCAGCAGCTCGCTGCTCCTCCAAATCCGCTCCGGTCTGGCGATCATCGCGCCAACCTCAGGCTTTTGTACCCTCCGTCGACCAATCGGCTGCCTCTGCCCTGCTGCGTCACACAGGCAGGCCCCGCCTTCACGCGACCCCCGTATTTGGAATGCCCCTCCCCCCCGGCATGTGCCAGGGCCGTTCAAATAATGCTGCGTGTATCCGTTTTGCTGCAAGCACTGTGTTTTGTCACACTTCGTTTTACATCTTTTTTCAGATTGATAGGAATTATATATTCCTGTAGTTTTCATAGTTTCTTGGCTACTTTTAGAGCCAAGTTGAATATCTTTCATTTGTTTTATAATAAAATTTATAAATAAAATCTGGGTCCAGCGGGATGGTCTAGCAGCTAAAATCCTCTCCTTGAACACGCCAGGATCTCATATGGACGCTGGTTCTAGTCCCGGCAGCTCCACTTCCCATCCTGCTCCGTTTGTGGCCTGGGAAAGCAGTCAGTGACGTCCCAAAATGTTGGATTCCTGCACCTGTGTGGGAGACCTGGAAGGAGGTTCCTGGCTCCTGGCTTTGGATAGGCTCAGCTCCGGCCGTTGTGACCACTTGGGAGTGAATCAGTCAGATGATCTTCCCTTCTATCTCTCCTCCTCTCTGTATATCTGACTTTCCAATAAAGATAAATAAATCTTAAAAAAATAAAGTTTATTTTATTTTCTGCAGTATCTATTTTACTTTGCTTCCAAATCATTGTATTGCACAAGTAACCCTGTATCTGAGTAGCTGCTATGACAAATGATAGGGCCATAAGAAAGAGCTTTCATAGAACCAAATGACCTAAAGTAGGAAACATATACACTTCTAGCCTGCAACGGTAGGGGGCAGTGTAGCAGGTGGGTAGACAGCATGGCAATGCCTTCCCTTCCACAAGCCACTGGGGATAAGCCTGCAGCCCACAGCCAGCCCACAAGACCCTTTAGCTACATCTAGCAGACTATCTTTGTTCTTAAAAATCTACAACGTAATTGATCTCCCTTGCCTAGAACCTTTGCTGTTGTTGTTGTTCTTGTGTACTCAATCTTACAAAATTGTAGTTACCCTAAACCCAGTCACACGAATCAGTTGACCCCAATTCCCACATGGCTTCTCCCACCTCCCTCAGTAGTATCCAAGCTTTCTTCCTTTGTTTTCATAAACACCTTTCACACCTACTCCTACTTACTCAGCCCATACATTTCATCTCTGGATTTGAGCTCTCCCCAAATCTATTGTTCTCATGATGAAATGAGTGCTAAAAGGTCATTTCTTAGGTGATAGATTCCCAAAACCTCTGTCAATTCCATAATTCCCCAGAAAGGCTCACAATATTCAGCAGGGTTGTGATTCGCATGATTATTATATATTACAGCAAAGAGACAAAGATTAAAATCAGAGAGGAAAGCCAGGAAGACAGAGTCCAGAACACGCAGGTTGTCTTCTCACAGACAGCCCTTAGTTCTCTCAGCATTTCCACACCATATGCAAACCATTGCAAAGTGAAACGCTTACGGCAGATCGTCCACTGACAAGTTTAAAGGAGTAACTGTGGGGTCTGGAAGTCTTGGGGCAGAAAGCACGTGAGTACTCCTCCCCTTGCAAAAATTGGAACAATCAAGAGAAGATCATGTCGATGACGCAACAGGACAAGAAGCTGCTCGCATTCCATGTCACAGTGCCTGCCATCTCAGCTTTTCTCCTACTTCTAACGTCCAGCCAATGGAGACTTGGGGAAGCAGTGGTATAGGGTCAAGTACTTAAGCCCCTGCTTCGGTCAATCCCATCTCATGCTGTTGTGGGCTTCTAGGGAGTAAATTAGATTTGTTATTTCTAGGGGGCCCTGTTATCATCAAGCGTGGTTAACAAAATCTCCTTAATAAACCCCAGACTTGTCTGGCATGCTCTCACTCGCACCCCACAACATGAAGATACAAGGAGCCAGGCTCTGCTTACAGCTCTGGAAGCTAGTCTCAAAAGGGTGACCACAGGAAGTCCACCAAGGTTCACCAGAAGAACCTGAGTGACTAGTTTCTTGGGCCCTGAACATCCATACCCATTTTCAAGTTATGTCACCGATCCTCTGGTGTCCCCAAGTAGGCTTGCCCTCTATTCCAGACATAGTGTTTGGTGTCCTCTAGATGAGGTTTACCTCTCGTTCCAGACATGGTGTCTAGATAGTCAGTTTATGGGTTTAATATATTCTTATGTTCCTTACATTGGCTAGTGAAGAAATGTGTCTCCAAAGAAGTCTTGCTGTACTACTGTCACTTCTCTGTAGATCAAAATACATTCTAAGGGGTTTTTTTTTTCCCTCTTTAATTCCCAACGCTAACATTTGAAGAACCAGGGATTAATATATTGATTGTAACTTTCCACTGATATACCTGACGGACACCAGGTATTTTTTAAATTTTATTTATTTTTTTTTATTAAAGATTTATTTTTATTATTTTTTTATTGGAAAGGCAGATATACAGAGAGGAGAGACAGAGAGGAAGATCTTCAGTCCGATGATTCACTCCCCAAGTGAGCACAACGGCCGATGCTATGCCGATCCGAAGCCAGGAGCCTCTCCGGGTCTCCCACGAAGGTGCAGGATCCCAAAGCTTTGGGCCGTCCTGGACTGCTTTTCCGGCGAGGACCTTAACCACTGCGCCACCGCGCCGGGCCCTAGACACCAGCTCTTAAATGTGTGTTAACTTTCCCACATCTGTCCCAGCTTGAAATAATCTCGTTTAAACTCCTTTATTTTCAGCTTCCAGTCCACTTTTCCATTTTTGAGTCTTCTATTTCCTTATTTAGTAGTGGGGCAAGTAGATCTACTTTAGATTTTAAAAGCACTGCTCTTTCTCTCACCACCACCACCCCCCTTTTTTTTTTCTTTTTCTTTCAAGGACTAAGGATCTGGGCAGACAGGTTCACAGACAACCTTACAGGGAACAAAGCTGGAGAGGTCGGTGGTAAAACCCTGGGGAAATTACCTTAAGCAAGAGTATGTTAATGTTTCCCTGGGGGCGCAAATAGGTAAGACAATAGCCACTTTTGCAGCATATCAAATAACAAGAGAGCGCCTCAAAACGGGTCCAATTTACTCACAGCCCCAAAAGCACTGCCAGCTGTGTCGCGAAGTTACTAGAAAGTTCCCATCCTCCCTCTTCCCTCCTTCAGGAACTCGCTCTCCCTCAAGGAAAGCAAGACTCGGGCAAAGAGGAACGTGACTACATCCCCCCCCGACGGCGGGCACAGAAGCGTGTGGTCCCAATTCGGGGTGCACGCTCTGGAGAAGTCATTTCAGGCTGTGAGGCACCTTTGAAGGCCGCTAAGCGGCTGACAGGAGACAAACTCATGAGGAACTTCTCCCTTAGCGGGGGAAGGAGGAATTGAGGCGCAGTGGCCCAGGGTGGCGGGGCGCACCGCGCACGCGCGCCGCTCCCGGGGCGGCTCCCTGCGCCTCAGGGTTGGGACCCGGCCGAAGTTCTGCCCGACTCCCGGCCCCGCCCCGCCCGCCGCGTTGCCATGGGGACCCAGTGGCCCAAGCCTGTCCGCGGCGGCGCCGCCCGGCCAGTCGCCGCTGCTCTCGGATCTTCAAGACCATGGAAGTTGCGATAAAGTCCAGCAGTACGAACGGGAAGCGGACGGGTCTGGGCCGTTGCCGGCATTTCTTCTGGCTGGGCGTCCTCTTCGATACGGTGGGGGTGGTGGTCCTCTTCATCGGCATCTTCGCGGACCTGATCTTCTACGACATGTTGCTCTACCTCGGTGCTATCATCATCTTCCTCAGCCTCCTCTGGTGGATCTCCTGGTACACGGGCAACATCGAACTGCTCCCCGAAGACTCCTCCATGACGAACTCCCAGCTGGCCTCCAGCAACGTGGTGAACACCTTGCAGCAGAGCATCAGCCGCCGCTTCTCTTGGTCCGTAGGGACCGTCTCCAACGCCATTGTCCAGATCCGGCGACAGCGGAGGCGACGTTCCTGGAGGACCCAGCCCTGGAGGACTACCCTAGGGGTGACCGTCTCGGGCCAGCTCGACAAACAGGAGAAACAAGAGGAAGGAAAAAATGTCAAGGACAGCAGCCAGCCCCAGGACGTGTGCCAAGAGAATCTGGGCAGCAAGCCTCAAGACGACAGACATTTAGATTGGATTGGCTCCCCAGGCCCTGGAGCAAGTCCTTCTTGGTTTGGTCAGCGACCCCTGAGTCCTCCGGCCCTGCCTGTGTTCCCTCTGTCCACTCTGAATCAGCCCTTGCCTTCCACTGTTTTGACCTCTAAGAGCCTGCCTGTAGTTCCTTTGGTTTCTTCTACTCAGAAGGTAGACTGCTCTACTTATAAGAGCCATTCTGTCAATTTTAAGGACTCTCTGAGCCATGCTCAGGCCCCTGTGACCTCAGAGAGTCACCTTCTGGTTCCAAAGTCCTCTGAGAGCCACCTCCAGGTCCCTGTGACTTCTGAGAGCCGTTCCCTGTTGCTTGTGACCTCTCAGAGCTGCCTCCAGGTCCCTGCAGCCTCTCAGAGCCAGTCTCTGGCACCTGTGGCCTCTCAGAGCCACTCTGTGGCTCCTGTGGCCTCTGAGAGCCACCTCCAGGTCCCTGTGACCTCTGAAAGCCAACCTATATTACTTGCAGCCTCTCAGAGTTACCTCCATGTCCCTGTGGCCTCTCAGAGCCACCCTCTGGCACCTATGGCTTCCCAGAGCCACCCTCTGGGACCTGTGGCCTCTCAGAGACAGACAGTATCTCCAGTGGCCTCTCAGAGCCACCTTCAGGTCCCTGTGACCTCTGAAAGCCAACCTATATTGTTTGCAGCTTCTCAGAGCCACCTGCAGGTTCCTGTGGTCTCCCAGAGCCACCCTCTGGCTCCTGTGGCCTCTGAGAGCCACACAGTATTTCCAGTGGCTTCTAAGAGCCACTCTGTGGCTCCCGTGGCTTCCCAGAGCCACTCTCTGGCTCATGTGGCCTCTGAGAGCCACCTCCAGGTCCCTGTGACCTCTGAGAGCCAACCTATA